TTGTTTCTTAATCGAAGTTCTCCTTGCTCTGTTTATATTTTCATGTTAAAACTAAAATCTCTCAGAATTGTCCAAAGAAAAAGCATAGGAAACATTTGGTTGCAATTGCTACAGAGTAACATTTCAAAAAGTAAACACTAGTTACATGTACGGAATTTCAAGTGAAATTATAAGATATAGTAAAACTGTTTGCTTTTCAGTAGTTATATTTTTATAAGTAAACTACTGCCTTTCCCAAAATGTAGCCAAGTTTTGAGATTATACAAAGTTTTTGAAAACCAGCAGATATTTTAATAAAAACAACTACCTTAACATTTAAAATGTTTTGCACATCAGTTTTTAGTTTCAAGTTATATATTCTTTTACCTGATTATTAGAACCTCTAATGTTAAAATCGCCCTCTAAGTTTAAAAATTGCCCTCTAGCACCTCCATCAGAGGAAGGGAGAAAAGACAGTTTTATGCTTTTTAATAAATCTGATGATGCTAAGTAGAAAAAAAAATAATTAGCTAAAAATGATGCTTTAGATGATCTGTGAATTTTTGTTGTTTCATCTGATCGTATCTGGAAAATAAGCCTATATTTTTAAAAATACTATTTGGACAGTTACTGAGTTTTAATTACTAAATTGTATTTCCTTTCCACTAAGAAATGGTTTTCTGAGACTGCAATTTCCATTACTCAAGGAGATGGCATTAACTTGCTGGACCTCCATGGCCAAGTCCAGAAATAAGGGTGCCAAAGGTACCTTCCCACATGGCCGCCACCAGCCACTGCTGCAAATGAACCATCTCTTCTCCTGGGGCTCTTCCTAAGACTTCTTTTCCTAACTGCTGGCGTCTCAAAACATGTCCCCACGTAGCTGGCAGCTCCTGGGCAAAGCAAACAGCGAGGCTGAGGGTTCTTGGCATCTGTGTGCTCAGGAGGAAGCTCTCACTCTTTCTCCTACTCCCAGCTTAGATTTGGCCACCTCGAAAAGGCTGCCAGTGACCTGAGTGACAGCATTGAGTAGTGGTGGTGGTAGTCATTGTCAGGTGTCTTCTCTAGCCACCAAACTATAGGTCTGCCATTTGGACTTTGACCTAGTGGGAAAGGAGTTTTCCACAAAGAGATGCCAAAGTTTAGCTTTATGTCTGCTTTTAACTTTTATCTAATAGATATAGTGATTTCCATTCATTAGGAGTGTAAGTGTAACATTGAGTACCCCAGGTAGGGGAGCGTCAGACTAGCCTGTGAAATCTGTGTTATAGGGTAGAAGGCTTGAAAATCTCAGTAAGTACACCTCTTTGTCAAAAGGCAAAATGGTTTCAGGAACAGGAAATTCTATCTAGTTCACTCTAATTTCTTTCCAGAATTAAATGAATAAACCACAGAAGTTTTATCAAGCATTGAAAAATATTTAGACTGCATAGTGGAAAAATCGGTAGATGCCATCACTCTATATTTTAGGAAGACTTAATATAAATGATTCCTCAAACTCCGTCCTGGTATGATTTGGTGATAGCATATTACAAACGTTGAGAGTGGTGGTATGCTGAAGTCAGCTCATGCAGTGTAGTTGTTTTGTGTCCAGGAATTTTGTAAACCAATGGACATAAATTTTGCAAGCCGGTTGACCACTTGTTGAATTGGCCATTGTACGAGTATTTACATCTTGGAAACTGGCAAACACTCTAATTGTCAAATCATTCTTGTTCCCTACCCGCAGACAAAACTTATTAAACATTTACCAGGATATCACTGGAGACAAGTTTGGGTTAGAAATATAGACCAAAGAGCAGGACCAATGGGATAAATGCTGAAGAACTATAGATGGTTTCCTCAGAGTTAGATGTTGGCACTGATCTTGCTCAGCATTTTTATAAATTCCCTGGGAAGAGGTAATAGAGAACTCTCCATATTTTTCAGATGACATTAAACATTCCTACAGTTTAAACTATAGACCAATAGGATTAACACCCAGAACTGTTAGACAACTGTGAGTTGCCTGAAAAATAGCAGAATAAGGAAAGAGCTAGGCAATTTTAGGAGAAACTATCTTTAAATACCCTTGTTAAATGATAAGTTCTAACCTTTGCGTTATGACCTAGGAAGGAAATTTAGGGATTTCTGTAGACTTTCTCTATGGTCATTAGTATAATTTGTTAGCTGTGATAAAAAGACTGCTTCAACGCCAAGCCCCTTCAGAAGCTCTGGAAATCAAATAGAATAACTGTCCCACCCTTCTAAAGAAACCCCAATACACTTCCTGCAGCTTTGGTTGACATGCTTCATGGATAATGTAATGGAACTGGAAAACTTTCAGAGAAAAGTTTGTAACCTGATCAGGGGATTATAAGAATCCCAGATGAGGCTAAGATTGTATTAACTAGCAAATCATGAAAGGTTTTGAATAAAGTAAATATAGATGGATTTAGGGGATCTTGAAAAACTAGAATCCTGAAAGACTAGTACTACTTTGATGTTTGCAATAAGAATCTGTAGAAGAAAATAAAAAAGACACATTATTGTTTCTTAAGGAAAAGAAGTAACAATAGCAAAAATGTTCCTCAAGATTTAACTTTTGTCAGTTTTTGAAAATCATTACATTTAGATATTTTAATGTGGAAGATTTAATGTGTATTTCCTCTAATCAATGACCTTCCTTATTAATTAGGTTCCAGCAAGGGAAGAGAGTGAGTTCCTCCTCTCAGTTTAGAGTGAGAGAACACTTAACACTTTTTGTTGTTCTTAAAGCAAAGAAATGGAAAAATCATTATAATTGTTTACTTTCACTGCTGAACCCCCCAGCTGGGATGTGTTCCCTAAACACAATAGTTTTGCATTTTTAAGGAAATTTAGTTAGGATTAATTTCAGTATCCTAATTAGAACTCACATTTTACTTAATCCTTAATTTCATTTTAAAAAATCAGGGTTTCTTAAGAGTGAATTAGGCAGCCCTGGCCAGTTTGGCTCAGCGGTTAAAGCGTCGGCCTGCGGTCCGGAGAGACCCGGGTTCGGTTCCCGCTAAGGGCGCGTACCTCGGTTGCAGTTTGTCCCCGGCCCTGGTTGGTCGTGCGGGTGGCAGCCACTCGATGTGTCTCTTCACGTCGATGTTTCTCTCTCTCTCTCTCCCTTCCTCTCTCTCCCTCCCACTCTATCTGTACAAAAAATGGAAAAATATCCTCGGGTGAGGATAAAAAAAAAAAAAAAAAAAAGTGAATTAGGCAAAGGGAAGTAGATAATTGATCACCCTATTCTAGGGAAAAAAATATTTCCTATGATCGAGAGTGGGCTCTTTGGGTGTTAAAAGTTAAGGCAACTATGATGAAACAAACAAGCAAATACCTTTCAAAAAATAAAGAAACATAAACTTTAGGGAAAAATATTTCCATGCTTTAGTGTTAAGCATCAAATAACGTAGATTATTTTATAAAATATACACACTTTGCAGCTTATTAAGAGTTTTAAGTTGAAACTTTAGAAAAACCTAGAAAGTTAAAGCTGTGGCAAGTAACCTAAATATATTGCACTTTTTTTTTTACTGTTTAATGAAAAATATTCATTCAGAAAAGTGCACAAATCATAATACACAGTTCAATAAATTTTCCTAAAGTGAATATATTTATGTAACCACCATTTAGTGTAATGCCATATATATATATGTATATGTATGTATATATATATATATATGAACTAATTAGGAGAGAAAAATTCAAAATGATAAATCTAATCATTTGCATTTAACCAGATATTTAGCTGCCATTAATTTTATCATGCTTTTATGAGCCTCCCAGTTTTCACCTTGTATGTTTTCCTTTAGCTAGAATACTTTTCTTACATTTTCTGTAATGAACATCTGTGTCGATGCTGAAATTTATTAGTTACCTTTTATATGAAAATATTATTGCTTTGCTGTTTTTAAAGTGTATTTTCACAAGTGAGGGGTTCCTGAGGTGTTAGAGGATGTTTTGAGCACCCAGCACTCTCCAGGTGTCAGTGGCTCATGGGGATGCATCAGCGGTGATCCAGTGTGTTCTACCTCCAGGTAATACAGGTTGGGCAAAAGTAGGTTTACAGTTGTTTGTATGGAAAATGATGCAAAAACTAATAAATAGTATAAGTTCTCTTTCGTGTACTTACAACTCTAGACCTACTTTTGTCTACCCTGTGTGTGTGTGTGTGTGTGTGTGTGTGTGTGTGTCTGTGTGTATCCTAGATTACCCATTGTATGAGTCATTAATTGTAAATACCAAGAGTACATTCATATTTTGAAGAAGACTGAGATTTAATAGGATATTATAATATAATTTAATTCAACTTTTAGGCAATGTGAGCTTCTAAAATAAATTGTTGTTGCTGTTTTCTCCTATTGTATATTTTCAACACCTTACCCGTGTTCTGGCGGTCCTCCCAGGGACTCCTCTGTAACACAGGAGCGGTCAGCGAGCATCCTAGGCTTTAGGTGGAAGAGCGCAAAGTATGTGTTTTATTGATCTCACACATAGAGTGGTTATTCAGATTAATTGTCAACCTGACTAATGAGGCCACTAATGTGTTTTAAAGTTATATTTGTTAAAAGGAAGATAATTTTTTAAACAAGGGAAAAAATGCACACAAAACAGACATCTAACAGTGCTGTTCTATTGCAAACACAATGTCAGGAAGGAACTAACTCAAGAAACACATTTTCTTAAATTAAGTACCATGACTAAGTACTTTAATTCCTTTTCTTGCAGCCCTTAAGGATCATTTGACACTGAACTTTTTAAGTTAAAAGGAAGTCGCCTGAACTCGCTAATACTAAGGGGGAAGGGGGATGCGCTGGTCTTACAGACCCGGCGGGCGCCGCTGGACAGCCCGGGCCTCTCCGGTCCCCACTCCTTCGCCCCCCACTTCCCCTCCTCCCCTCCCTCTCGCCCTCTCCCCCTCACTCCTCCTCCGTGACCCCTGACCCCGGCTAATCTGCATAGAGGAATGACAGGCATCCGCTGGGCAGGATCCGCCGCGCCGGCTGCGGCCGGCCGGGCTGGGAGACCCGCGCTGGGGAGAAGGTGAGGGGCCGGGCGGGCATCTCCGCACCGACCGGGACATGAGCGCTTGGAAATCTGTCTGCGAGCGGACCCATGATCGACGGAGCAAAAGAGCCGCGTGATCGCCGGACCTGGCTCTGCGACCCTAGACATGGGCCAGACCTCGGTCTCCACGCTGTCCCCGCAGCCCAGCAGCGGTGAGTCCCGGGCGCACGCGATGCGCTCCCGCGGCGCCGGCCAGCGCTGGGCTTGCTCGGGGCAGCGGGGACGGTGGGGGCTCCTGCACTAGTCCTGCTCTGCCGAACCCGCCGAGTCCCTCGGAGAAACCCGAGAGGTAGCGCTCCCCCGAATTCTTTGTCGTGGAAAAGTGGAATGCCTTTTGGGATCCAGCCGACTTTACCTTAAAGGCACAGGCTCCATTTTCTGTGTGAGATGCCTCTCTTTGGTCTTTATCTGAATTACCTCTGAGCCTGAAATTGACGAGAAACACCATTTGCTTACTGCTGTGTTTTTAACTTAGAAAGTAAGGTAAACGTGCCAACAGGTTTTTCTGTATTGACGCTTGGCTTCTGAACAGACCAGAACTGAATTCTTTTCAAGCCTTTCAACTGATTTATGGTTTGTTTTTCCGAGTAGAAGAAGTGCTGATAGCCTTCTTTCTCTTACCCTGGCAGAACGCTGAATACTTAGTAACTAACTACAAAAAGTTGCTTAATTGTTTCAAATGATTCTTGCGTTGTTGATGTTAGACACATCAGTCATAAAATTGGGGGAAAGTATTTCATGAACTCAGTTATTGAGGGGCCAAATCCGTTTTATGGAAACATGTGTAACTTTTCTAAGTTACAGTGCCCAGTTTTAAGTTTCTTTTTTTCATTTTCTTAACACCACCACCCCCCCCCCCAAAAAAAAAAAAGAAAAAAGAAAAGGGAAGGAAGGTATGTCTGGCATTTCTCCAGGAGTGTAGGATTAAACAACGTCTTGCTGGCATTACTTGTGATTGGAGAATGAAATAAATTTAAAAGGTACTATTTTGATATTTTTCCATTGACAATTTAAAAATACCTCAAAGGGGCCCTTTATGTTATTCTTTCAGATATTTGATACTTTTAAAATTGTGTAAATGTCAACAGGATCTTACTGAAAGGAAATGACAGGGCACAGATGAAGCTTTTTTTAATCAGCTCCAGGATGTCTCCAACTAGATAGAGTTCTATCATCCCAACCTCTCCCCACATGGGTTTGTTTATTATGCTGCAGAGCTCCACTCCCTGAAGCTTTGCTGGGGCTTATGGTAAAACCCTAAGAGAATGAACCCTCTGCAAAGGAGGGAAACCACAATCCCCCAAACATCACACCTTCCCTTACTGTTAATGACAAAGTTGTACATTGTTCCAGATCATCAGAGACTTCATATTGATGGCTTTTGGGGGATTTGGGGGAAGGGGTGTTGATTTGGATCTTAATTTTAGGAAACCAGTTTGTGCAAATAGGCTCAGTTTCCTTTAAAGTAGTGTGACTTCTTTTATTTCAAGGAACAGTTATATTTTTAAATGTCTACACTGGCAAAGTAGAGAATTCAGTCATTACTCTAGTACGTCAGGAATAAGGTACTACACTGAATTTAATTCTTTTGCCACAAAATATTAAGCAGGGGTTATTATTAGAAGAGTGAATTTTGTGTTTATAAAAATCTAGGAATATTCCATAAATGATGACTAAGAAGCAGAGCATGATCCTAAAATGTGACTGTCCTAGCTCTTACCCAGTGTGGCAAAACACAAAACAAAAAACCCAGATTGCGATAATTCCTAATAAAATGACTAGTCATGTCAAGAAACTGTACAATTTATTTAGATAAAAGTAATTTAGACAAAAAGTTATTCTTGACCATAAAAGATATTTCACAGAAATATCTTATGGTGTGGTTATACTTAAATTATAGGGCCTCTGTTTAGTTGTTTAAAAGTTTGTATGGCCCTGGCCAGTTTGGCTCAGCAGTTAGACCCAAAGAGTCACAGGTTCGGTTCCAGTCAAGGGCACATATCTTGATTGCAGTTCGTCCTGGCCCTGGTTGAGGTGGTGCGTGAGGCAACCAGTCGATGTGTCTCTCTCACATCGATGTTTCTCTCTCTCTCCCTCTTTCTACTTCCTCTCACTCTGTATGAAGATAAAGAGAAATATATCCTTGGGGGAGGATTTTTTAAAAAAGGTTGTATGTCTTGGAGTGACCAATCCAGACATCGTGAGTAGAGATGGTTTTTCCAGTTTTGTCTGGTTGGTTAAGGGATGATAGTGGCTATGACTCAAGCTTTAGTGTTGGAAGAGTGGAGTAATTTTTGCATATCTACTTGGGTTTCTCTAAGTCTATTACTATTACTCCATTTCCCTGAAGTTTTACCATCAGATTCTAAATAAAAATATAAAACCATTGCCAACACAAGAACATTTGGTTGTTATATTTGTTTTATATTCATGTTGATGTTCCTCTCTGAGTCTGAGAATGTCAAATCCTCTACTCTTCCAAATATCTTGTTCACTCCTTATCCACTGTTTAACTAATGGTGGCTTTACACAAGGTGTGAAGCCATGTTCTGTTTGAGCTCAGCCATCTATGGTTGTTTAAGCCTAGAGTAGCGCTAGGAATGGTGAAGATGAGGCTCATCTGAAACACTTAGTGGGAGGAAATCTGTTTGAGTCTAAGGAAGCAGTATCACCGAGCCCAATAGTTTACACTTGTCACTGGATTTGGGCTTTTGTAAGAATCATCATTGTAGGCTACAAGCTGGCTTGCTTTTTGCTCTCTTGAGCTCAGGCTTTATTGAACTTCAGCTTAAGGCTGCGTTTGTTTCTCTGGGATCTAGGAAGACCATTAATAATTAGTTCTGAAAACATGCAGTTATTTCTATTTTTTAAAGTAGTTTTATTGTTGTCCGGATGGTGTGGTTCAGTGATTAGCATCGACCCATGCACCAAGAGGTTGCCGGTTTGATTCCCGGTCAGGACACATGCCCAGGTTGTGGGCCCCATCCCCAGTGGGGGACATGCAGGAGGTGTCCAGTTGATGTTCTCTCTCATCATTGTTTCTATTTCTCTCTCTCTGACTTCCTCTCTCTTTAAAATCAATAAAGAAAAAAAAAAGTAAAGTAGTTTTATTATCATATAAGTAGCTTTATTGTCATACAATTAACATACCATAAAATTTATCCACCAAAAGTGTACAATTCATTGTTTTTTATTTTATTTTTTGGTTACTCCTCCCCTGAGATATTTTACCATTGATTTTTTTAGATGCAGTAGAAGGGAGGGAGGGAAAAAGAGAGAGAAAGATCAACGTGAGAGAGACACATCGATTGGTTGCCTTCTGTACAACCCTGACCGGGGTTGGGGAGTGAACCTGTAACCCAAGTACGTGCCCTTGATTGGGAACTGAACCTGTGACCCTTCAGTCCAAGTTCCGATGCTGTAACTGCTGAGCCAAATCAGCCAGGTCTCATTTTTCTGTAGTACGTTCATAGTGTTGTATAACCATTAATCCCTATTCCAATCTTTCTCAACCTCCATCCCCTAATTAACCACTCATCTGCTTTCAGACTCTGTAGATTTGCTTATTCTGAACATCTCATATAAATGGAATCATATAACCATGGCCTTTTGTGACTGGCTTCTTTCACTTAGCATGGTGTTTTCCACTGCCATCCATGTGGTAGCATGTGCTAGTACTTCATTTCTCTTTATCATCAAGTAATATTGCAATATATACCATATTTATTCATTCATTCATCAGTTTGATGGAAATTTGGGTTGTTTTTACTTTTTGGCTATTATAAATAATGCTGCTATCAACTTTATGTACACATTTTTGGTGAACATGTTTTCATTTCTCGGGTATATATCTAGCAATGCAATAGCCCAAAGAAGGTGATTTTAATTAGGTAATTTGCTTTCCTATTATCGTGTTATAAGAGTTTTTTATATAGTGGATACAAGTCCCTTATCAGACATATGATTTGCAAATATTTTCTTGCATTCTCTGGGTTGTGTTCTTACTTTCTTGATAGTATAGTTTGCAACTCAGAGTTTTAAAGTTATTATTGTGTCCAGTTTATCTACATTTTTCCTTTCATTTGTATTTTTGGTGTCATATCTAAGAAACCATTGCCTAACCAACATCAAGATTTACAGCCATGTTTTTTTCTAATAGCTTCATAATTTTAACTCATATGCCGGCCTATGATATATTTTAAGTTAATTTTTATGTATGGTGTTATGTAGTTTTCAATTTCATTCTTTTGTACGTGGATGTCCAGTTTTCCAGCACCATTTGTTCAGAAGACAATAGTTTTTTTTATTGAATTGTGTTGGCACCCTTGTCAATTATCAATTGCCCATATATGTAAGGGTTTATTTCTGAACTCTCAGTTCTACCCCATTGACCTATATGTCTATTAATATCCTGCAATGTCTAGATTACTATAGTTTTGTAGTAAGTTTTGAAATAGAAAAGTCTAAGTCTTTTAACACTGTTCTTCTTTTCCAAGATTCTTTTAGCTATTCTAGTTTCCTTGCATTACCATATGAATTTTACAATTAGCTTTTCAATTTCTGGAAATAAAAAAGCTACGCTGGGACTTTGGTAAGGATTGGGTTGAACTTGTAGACCAATTCAAATAATATTGCTATCTGAACAATAGTAAGTCTTTCAACCCATTAATATGGGTATCTTTCCATTTATTTAGATCTTTGATTTCTTTCCACAATATAGTTTTCAGTATATGAGTCTTGCTCTTCCTTTGTTAAATTTATCCCTAAGGACTTTATTGTTTTTGATGCTATCATAAATGAAGTTGTATTCTTATTTCATTTTCAGAATGAAAATAGGTATGCAAAAATTATGGCCTAGATCCTTGCTGAACTCATGTTTTGTTTTGTTTTGTTTTTTGTCTTAATAGATTTTTAGTGGGTTCCTGTATACACGATCATGCTAGATACAAGATCTATATGCAAGGTCATGTGCAAACAGAAATAATTGTATTTCTCCCTTTCCATCTGAATGCCTTTTATTTCCTTTCCTTGTCTAATTGCTCTCACTTGTTATACAGTATACTGTTAAATAGAAGTGGCAAGAGGGAACATCGTTGTCATGCTCCTGATCTAAGGGGGAAAGCAGTCAACCTCTTACCATAAAATGTCATAT